GTCATGACTTTAACAACACAGGACAGATGTTCGGGCTGTTTAAAATTATTAAAAAAACGCTCTCTAAATGTCCTTATTCTTTGCTATGCAGGTGTGAAGCTCCCTTGCAGCAGCAAGATACACTCGGGAGGTTGACCCTGCTGTGCTGACATTTGGATCTTTGCAAAAATTCCATCAGATCTACAGTAACCCTTGAGGGAAAACTTGGGGATATCACTGAGACCAGGAATACTAAGAGCCAGAAAGAAATTGATTCTCCTAATCCACCGCACCTGATCCCTGCTGGTGAGTAGTGAAGAATGGAAATGCTTTTCTAGACCACAAACTGTCAGGAGTCCACTCTGCACATAGTATTGCATCTGAGGGGAGGCCTGAACAAGCCATCTCTTCACCAGTTTGCCCAGAAATGCAGCCATGACAAGATGGTGCCATGCAAATCCCATGTGCCTCCTCTTGCTTTGCAACTGAAATGAAAGCAACACAGCCATACCAACAACCGTGTCCCAGGAATGAGCTGAGGTTGAGCCTTTGTACTGCTGTTCAAATAAAGCATCAAAGCATCATAAAAATAAAGGCCATGTGCTGTTCAAATAAAGCATCAAAGCACTGTATTGGTCTGTTGCAACAATTTCAGCTCTGCCACAAACCATCTTTTTTAAAATAAGTTACTCAGTGGTGGTAAAAAAATTTACTAGGAGTCAAGTGGATTTTCCCTGTGTGCTCAGTATCACCTTCTTACAACCCAGGAGGTCTGGGAGGCAGGATTTCCCTTTGCAGGTGCCATGCTGACTCTTCCACAGCAGGCTCAATTGTCCAGGCTAACTGATCTGAATTCACACCGTAGTGATCTAGGTTGTTGGAGTTTCAAGAACATATGTGAAGAAGAAAGCAGCATTAACGAAAAATATGGTACTGCAGTACAAGAGGCAAAATAGTCATAGTGGAGATTACCACTTTGAAATGTTGCAAACTCTCTTTTGCCAGGACTGAGAACTTAGGTCATCTGGTAACAAGAATTGTGATGTTCATAAAAAGGAAAAAGAAACAATGAAACAAAGTAATGGGAACTTAAAGTACTCTCCTTGAAGGCAAGAGTGCTATGCGTGTGTGATTCCTGAATTGATGCATGGGAAATGAGTAACTAGGGCTGGTCTGAGAACACCAAGTGCCAGATACTATTTCAAGCCAGATGACCATTATGGGTATATGAAAGGCTGCCCTTGGGATGCAGGTCAGAGAAGTATTGAGCTTAGCAGCTGTGACAGAAACAGTGGTATGAAAATCCACATCAACTTGGGGTAATTAAACATTTCCTAATCCTTTTTGCCATGCTTCTACTTGACAACTCCTTGCAGAGATTGGACTAGAGGTCAAATTAAAAAGAAAAAGGAAAAAAAAACCCAACAACAACAAACAACTGCCAAGTCTCTGGAGCAACTGCAAATATCTTTATCTTCTTCCTGCATCTTACTTCAACATGTTAATACACAAACAGATTCAAGCTTACAGGGATCTCAAAGTGACTTTGCTTAGTCTATCACCCATTTATCTGCCATGCCAGCACTTGACTCAAAGTGACAGCTCAGAAACTCTGCCCTCTATTACTTTTTCTTGTTTAAAAGCAATTGCTATCAAGAGAAAAGTCACTCCATTTGATTAATAATACATACAGATGGTCAGGACATTCAGTCAGAAAACTGATAAATTGTTAAGCTGCTGAAATCCACCTGCAGGTTTCTTTAGGTCTGGACTTACCTTCTAACCTTCCCACTCTGTGGAAGCTCACTTAAGACACCACTAAATATTTTCTCTGTAAACTGTGTAAGATAGGAAAAAGCAAATGTGCTTTTCAGACAGCCTTCCTATAAACAAACATTAAGCCTCATTATTGATGCAGCAAGTGAAGCAACCTAGGAATTTCTGATGTAGCAATACAGTGTAGTTGCATATTCTCATTTCTTTTAAAGATGACAGGACATAACAAAATACAAAAATGCAAATCTAATCAAAGTTGTGCAAAGGAGAACACCATTTGTTGATCACCGCTGTAGTGTTTTTCTACTGTTTTCCTTTTGACTCCCTTCACAACTCACAACTCCTCCATTTGTGGATGGTTTGGCTCATTCACTACTTGCACATATCCTAGCCTTCACCACTTCACCATGGCTTTAAACAGCAATAAGGAGTCAAAGTGAAACAAATAATTTTGTTCTCATCTCTGACATTTAACACCTTTTGTAGGAATTCAGCATCAGAAAAGAAAGTAGAGTTTGTTTTTCTTGATAACTAAGGTGTGTTGTTGAGAACAAACATGCTTGAACTCACACATGACAAGGCCTAGCCAGGCAGCTAACACTGAGTTGACAAAATAGAGCTCTGGGCTTGAGAGCCAGTGTACACTTCTACACATTTAAACATTTAATCCTCTCATGCCAAGTCCAAAGCCTTAATGATGCCACAATAAAGACTAAACGTATTTGCTCAGCCAGATATTGAGTATAAACCATGTGAAACCATTAAAATAAATAAAGGTTTCCAATGTTGTTTGAAGGTATCAGAATGATGACCCTTAAAGTTTTGGGTGAAGGTGCCACCAAGCAGAAACACAACTTCGGGAATACTCTGGAGACATTTATACTTCAGTCCTGACATGCCACTTTTTACATAGAGTTCCTTCCTCTCTGCCCTTCAAGGGGCTGTTCCAGCACCCACAGAAAGGATAAATCAATCAACAGTAAGCTTGGCCCTGCTACATTTGGAAAGAAAAGATCTTATGTGAGCCTTGAAAAGCTTCCACCCACGTAACTTTCCCAGTTCATGATTTAAACACAGAGGCAGTCAGATGGCTGATTAGACCCCCAAAACCAAAGATGCTAAAGCCCAGATTCAGGCAGGCACTGTAGGAACAGCTACATGCAATTGCTGCCAACTTCACTGTCTCCCCAGACTACTGACTTCCCCTCTCCTCATAAATTCTTTCCAAAGTCTTTCATCCTCTGTTCCTGTTTGGCCCCTGACACTCAGAAAGACAGCAAGAAAAGCATCCTAGCTGTTTCTGCCCCATTTCCCTCTGGACTGGCTTAAATCTAGAGAACTGCATGTCCAGCAGCTCAGCTGGGGCATCCTAGGGTTGCAAGCCACTGGCACACAGCCCAGAGCCACTCCTCATGCACCTGCTTGGCATAACAAGAAACTTTGAAAGGATATGTGGTGAAATCTATGTATGGGAGACTGAAACAAAGATACTCTAAGGAAAAATAATTGACCATTTTCCAAAATTACTTTTGTACATCTACACAATAATCAAATAACAATTAAGAAAGACATAGTACAAACAACTAAGTGGAGTCATCACCAAATCCAAGATTTCTGAAGTGGGAAAAATGTTCCTGCACTATGAAATTAAAACAACATGCTTAAATTTTCTAAAATTTTCTTTACTTATATAAATTAAACCCAGAAATAACAGTCTCAAACCTGTCCCACCCAAGTTTTGAGTACTGGAAGCTGTATTCTGCGGAAAGATAAACACAAATTTTAATTTTTCCTCTTCCCAGACTGCTCTTCCTTTCAGACAGCAAAACCTTCACTACTAAAATTAACAAGCAATAACCACTACAAGTGTAAACAGAGGAAACGGAATAGATTGTGAATGAAAGGGAAATCACAAAATCACATGAACAGAGCTCTCAGCTCTCAGGCCTGTTGTGCTGTTTCCCTACTTTTATTTCGTTATGTTGAATACCTTCTGTTTCTTTTGTTGAAAAAGTGTGGAGGGGAAGCTCACACCCAGGATGATAAATGCATTTATTCATACACCTGAGCAACAAAGATACAATGATACCTCTTTCTACAGGTATTTTCCCAACTACTTGTGGCTACATTGAAATACAAAGGCGAATAACCCTTGTTGTGGTAAGCCAAAGAAAGAAACAGTGACATACAGAAAAGCAGAGAAGCTAATTAATATAATGAAATAAGGGTATTTTCCATACAATTATTTGCTCCAATGAACATAGAAAAGAAAGGTTAAATAATCTGAGAGTCCAGGGATTTTGTGAGGGTTTCTGCATTTTCTATTATGTTCTAAAGCTGGTGTCCACAATAGTCTCATTAAATTAATAGTCTTAACTGTGTAAGCAAAAATTTACCATATCTGATGTCCAGTTTAACATTTTGTATAAAGTTAAGGCTTAACATAAGGTAAATTTGACCACAGTCATTACCTTTTCATGTCCACAACTGCTACTTTACCATCTTTGAAATGGTAAGAAAGGTTGTCCCTCCTCCCCTTTTGATAGAATACACAACAGAATACACAACAGAATACACTGTAGCAGGTCCTGAAGAAAAATGCTTTTCTATTAAGTCAGGAATGTCACTACTTGGTCGTGAGACAGCAGACAGACCTTCATCATTTTTGCAAAAGTTATCTCCAGGGAAAACCATCAGCATGTTTCATTTCCACACTATCAACTCACTCTTATCACAGACCATCATTCTTCTAAGACAGGCATTTGAATAATACTTCAGATTTGACAATGGCTGACAGATAAAGAAACATTAAATTAAACACAATGCCTACTAATAAAGAGCTAAATGTGAGTTAAAGAACAAAGGAAAAACAAAAAAACAGACTAGTATTTAATTAACACTTAATTACAATACATATTCAGAAAGTAGGAAACCTATTTTTATATAAATAAATTCCTGAGAACCTATATGGAGAAACAGTTTGAAGAGGTAAAACCAGTGAAAGAACACTGTACCAGAACCAGTGATGAGTGTTATTTACTAAACCTAAGCAGAGGCAGGTTCTTAGACAATGCAAGAAATGGTAATTTACATGCTCACCCCACAGGCATGATCTAATTCCTGCCACGGACAACCAGCAAAAATGCATTTTTTTCCTTCTCCAAAGTCATATTTAGAAACTTATTTTAAACCAAGTTAATTTAAAATGGTATGGAGCAACCACACCACAAGTAAACAGAATCATATTCAAGATGTTAAAGAGTTTATTTTAGGAATGTGGACAAAAATAACACAAACATCCTCAATACTGTACATTTGTTTAACAGATAATAAACAACAAGGGAAGTGATTTAAAGTGTACAGAATAAATGGGACCATACAATTAGACTGGGAGTATAGAAGAGGTCTTTGCTTGTCACATCATACTGGTAAGCTACTAAAAGTGCTCAAGGAAACCCTCTATGAAAAGTAAGACAGGAAATAAATCACATTATGTAAATATCAAAAGAACAATAAAAGGTTAAAAAAAATACTGCCTTCTTACTGTACTGGCTCTGGCAGGGACTGAGGTAACTTTCTTCATAGCAGCCCTTATGGTGCTGCTTTGCTTTGGATTTGTGGCAGAAAGAGTGCTGAGAACACACACAAAAAAAAACAAAAAAAAACCAAAAAAAAAACCTTTGGCTTTTGCTGAGCATTGCTTGCACAGCATCAAAGTTTCATTTTCCCCCCACTCTGCTTGCTCCAGCAACTCGGCCAGGGGGCAACAAGAAGCTGGGAGAGGACACAGTTGGCCAAAACTGACCTAAACTGACCCTGCTCCAGGCACACCAAGAAAACTGGAGGGGAGGCTAGGCAGAGGTCTGCTCCTGGGAAGTGGCAATTGCCTTTGCAGAATTTGTTCCCTCTACCCTCCTTTCCTTCACTTACTGTGCCTTTATATCAACCCTCTGCTGTTCCCATTCTCTCCTGCATCCCCCCGAGGGAGGGAGGAAGCAGCTGGGCAGTGCTTAAGCTGCTGCAGAATCTGGGCAACTTTATTTTTTTTTTTTCAACATACTTTAAGTTTGGAGAATAAAGTGCTCACACAGACTGATGTTTCTTAAATATAGGAACACGTAACTATGTTTGTTTCAAGATCAGCCTTCCTCCAATTTTGCTAACTGTATTTAAAATACCTATTAACATTCCCACAACTGAATTTAATTATTCAAAGACAAATATGCTCCTCTATGTCAACCCTGACACATTACACTCTTGGAAGATGTTTTTTCCAGGCAAAAAAACCTCCACCCACAGGAATGTGCATGATGTATTTTTCATCAATTATTTCTGCTATGTGGAGCTGTGCTTCCATGTTGCTTTTTGTTATATATATACATAAATCTGTCTATTTAGGAACATGAGAACAACTGCTTTAAGTAGCAGTTAAGACTGAATTCAAAATCACTGTACTGTGACAATTAACCATCTATGTCAAGTAATAAAATATAGATTTTAAGAAGAGGAAACATAAACCAACTTCAGCAAACATTTCAACAATGAAAAACATTTATGGAAAATTATTCCTATACACGTAGGAGATAGAAACATGTTATTTTGAAGTCTTTAGCTGCTTCTAGTTTTACAACCAGGAAAAAACACTTTGGAGAGAAAAAAACAGAAGTGAAAGAGCAAAAGGGCTAATGAACACAAACTGTCTTCCTGGATTCTGGAGTTACAGCTCTTGTGGAAGGTTCTCATCTTTATTCATTCTCAAATCTGCTGTAGGGGTTATCAGAATCCTGGAGAAGACCTGTAAAACAAAATGGGACTACAGTTATAATTTTCTTTTTACAGAAAAACTCTGAGTTACTGGCTTCACTGCTATTGGTATTGCATGTAACAAATCCAAAAGGCAATTCTTGTAATAGTTGCTCTATTACCCAGGCAGCCAAGGATTATAATAAATTGGAAGTGTTCTTAGGCACTCTTATTTCTCAGACAATAATCATGAATAAGTATTTCATGATTTAGCAGGGAGAGAACATTTCCCTATGAAAAATTATTACAGAAAGAACATTTCTCATCTGTGAGGTAAACTCCAAAAAAATGCACTTGTGAGAGTCAAGTTGACAAAAATCTAAGTATAGAGATGTCTCAAGAAGAACAGATTCCAAGTGGCCAGTTTATAAATGCAAGTGACTATAAGATCATCATCCTTTTAAAATGTAAGATGTTGCTACTTTGACTTAGCTCTACTTCAATTATACCCAACCATCTGTCACATTTAGCCACTTACAGCTTTTCTGCAACAGGACAATAATCTCTAAGAAAAAATGAAGATCATTTCTTATGTGTACTAAAACCTCCAGGGACCAGAACGAGAGCATCACTTAATCCAAGACAGTGTTTCCCTCACAAAGATTCTTAATGACTTTATACTAGAATACTGTCACAGAAAGCCCGGCAAAGCCATCCAATTATGCTGAGTGCCTGAATATGCAGAGCATCCTCTGTATAGGTTAGCTGAGTAATCACTGTTCCACACAGAAATTACTTCAAAGAGACTTTAAACCACACTTTAAACCTGGGGTAGGCAGAAGACTGAAAATAAAGGAGTCCTGTATGAGTCCAGAGGCTGACCTTATGCTGTGAAAGGACAGGACACTATTGCTATTTTTTCTGCCAAGATTTTTATACTGATGTCTGACAAGGACTCTTTTGTAGCTCGTTTGTCTAGGCGTGGAGACCGTAGAAAGAGCAGTCGAGCAACTCCAACTCACAAATGTTCACATCCACAATAATGAAAGAAAAATATTTCTAGTCACTGCCAAATCTTGTAAGAACTCCTCTCAGTCCTTTTCACACTATACCTCTTTCCACATGTACCTGCACATACATACTGAATATTGATATATTCACTGTTTTATCTGCAAGTCAAAACCTAAATGTGCTGTACGCAGACTACACTATTGCCTACCTCGTGCAGTTGGTGAGCTTCATTTGAACTGCCGGGTTATTTTAGGATGCCAGTCAAGCAGCACAATTGCTCAGGGCTGATTACTGTATCAGTTACTGCAACTAACTACCTGATAGATACAGTAAATATTTGGAAAAAAGAATAAATAAGAAAAGTCCTATAATAACTCAAATAAACAAGATTACGAGGAGTCAATTTGTAAAACATTAATATCAAAACTATCCCTCATATATATGACCCTTACTTGTCCAAGGAGTAAGTCAGTAACACTTATAAAGCTTCAGCCAGGTAACATGACATATAGTCAATTTACCTGGTGTGGTACCTTGTATCAGAGGAACTACCCATTTCTATAATTGTTTTTGAAAGTAAATAAAATTAAAATGTAAACATTTGTTTAATAAGGATATGCTTAGGTGATATAACTGTGAAAATTATTCTACAATATTTTCAGATTTTGAATTTTTTGTCTTTTTAAACTTCTAGAAAGTGGTTACTTCTCAGATTTAAGTATTACCTTTCATACATTTAAACAAACAGTTGTGATGTCCACTCTGTCTCTTCTAGCTGTCAAGTAAACTAATACACAATAAAAAAATCCTCTCTTATCCTTGCAATTCAACCTTCAGTGCCTTCAGATGATATTCCTGCATTAATTTAACCCCAACCCAAAGAGAGAAGAAACATTGCTTTTGCTCCCAGTTCATCAACACCCCCATCCCTCCTCCAGACTTGTTAATACTTTGGCAGTTAGGATATACAGCTCCTAATACAGTCAGTTACCTGAAACACAACTGAGTAGTCCAATTTAAAAAAAAAACTGCAGTACTCCTGCATTTCAATTTCACCCCTTTGAAACACAAAACACATTTACACAACATTTACCAAAAATCAGCATCAATACTAGAAATTACCACTATTATTACAATTGCCATTGCTTAAACTCCCTGCACTCATTAAGATCCATTTACAAATAAATGCACCTAACTTCAAAAAGCTTTCCACAAAGTGGCAAGAGGTGGTACCATATTCCCTGACAAAATGAACATGGCCTGCAGACTTTTCTCTGTAGAGTCTGACGTGCTTATTATATTTTTTTGATATTTCATTCAGGACACATACTCAATACTTCATAGGCCTGAAAGTAGCACAGTAAAACACTAGATTCTGTTCTTTACAGCTTAAACAGCTGAAACCCAATGGAAAAGATTTTCTACATCCAGTAGTGCCAATTTCACCAGAGGACTGTGTAAGAGTCCTGATAAACCTTTCCTACACCATTTTGAGGACTGAATATACTTTTCTCTTCTCCTACTCCAAAGCACTCAGCTAAAAGCCATTTCAGAAAACTAAATCTCATATTTCAAGTGAATGTGTCATTTTTACTCCTCACTGCATATGCCATACCCAGTAGTACTTGCTTTAAATTTACTGAATTATGTTTAGGAATGAACAGATCTAATCACCACCAATCAGGCATTAGTATGTCTACCTTAAAGTACTTTCATCTGTTTCATCACAGAATACTGAAACTAAACAGGCTTTAAGAATGATGGGTCAATCCAGTGTGAATATTATTGGCTCTGACTTCAGAAATTGATCTCCCAGGAGAAAGGGACTCCAAGAGAAATGGCAAGCCCTCCTTCCAAATAAGGATAACCAGAGGTTACAATACCTGATACACTTTGCTTTCAGCCTTGCTCTCAAGCCTGCGTTCAGCATTTAAATTTCTTTTACCCTCAGCATTTTAAGTACATCATAAGATTACATTAAGTAAGAGGAGTGAGACAGCAGCTCATCACTTGCACCAACTCTTACTGAAGAAGTATCAGGCTCCAGTAAGTGGACAAAAACTATATGGAGAGACATACAAAAAAAAAGGAGCATGACAAAAATCTTCTGTTGGCTGCCACAGCTGCTCTGCCAGTGCCACTCTGAGGAGCTGGCAGCCCATGCTAATGGGGCAGCACATCTGGCTCAGCTGAAGCTCTCGCACTGCCTGGAACCAGACAGGAGCTGTTTCTCGACTTTCCTATCTGACATGAGAGCCACCATCCAAGCTGTCATTTACCCTCAGGGGTTCAGAGAAACCAGATGTTTGCATCTTCAGGAGCCTTGTTTGCAATCAAGTCCATTATGTGTCACTGGTGAACTTGAATACTGGCACACAGGTCATTTAAAAGTTCTTACTTCCATTTACCCTCATTTTGAGGTTAGTACTTGACATACTTAGCAGTATCTAGGAAACACTCAAAAATTTGAAAGGTATACTAGTCATGTATCTTTCATGAGTTTATAGGAAATAATGAAGCATGTTAGTAAATATGAAATGACAAAGCAATGGTCAAAAGAAATTAACACCTCTTTCCAGCATATTAATTTATATTGCATACCAACTATGCATGTCCCCAGTCACTGAGATTTGACATGTATCAATGCTGCCCAAAAACAGAATTAACAAGTGAAATACTTACAAGAGACTGTGTGTAGTTGAAAACAAAACAAAACAAAAAAACCCCGAGAAAACAGTTTACTGCATGTCTTCACCCCTTACTAAACTTTTCCTCTCTATTTCTAGCCCCCCATATTAACAACTGTATTCCTAACAAACTAAATAGCTTTCAGTGTTCGGCAATGCAAGGTTCTCCTGCCTTGCATTCAGAACACTAAAGAAGATCAAGGCAAAGTATCTACCTTGAACAGAAGACACATTTGCTGTCATAAACTACTGAATATAAAAACCAATGTCTTATATAAAATAAACAAGAGAGTATTATATATCATTGAAATAGCTAATCAAAACCTTTGCAGAACTAAAGCAATGAAGTTATAATCATTTTGCAAAAAATAAATTAAAACTCCTTCCACTAATACTTGGTAAAATCCTCAAATAAATAAATAATAAAGCAGCTTCTCACTAATGCTATACTGAACACACAATAGAAGCAAATGCAGCAGGAATTAAATTGTAGTTCCTTTGTGTACTACACAAGCTGCAAAGTACTCTGAATTCTACTTTAAATTTTTCCTAAGAGACAACATATAATTTCTGTAATCATATTGCATTCATATATGTGAACAAATGAAAAATACTATCAACTTGTGCAACAAAGAAACAATTGAAAGTGAATACTCCTGGTTGCTAAAGCTCTCTATTGCTTCCAATGCTCCCAAAGGATGGTGGCAAGAGTGACACCTGCAGTGCATTATAAATGTGTAATTACCATTTAAATGGGGTATGGAAAGCTGGGGATGAAATGAGAAAAAGCATTCCCTTCAAGCCAACCAAATACTGAAATTTCGGGCATCATCATCTTTATGTACAGTCAGGTTAACAAAGTCATTGTCATTCTGCCACTCATCCATGCCTACTTAACTGGGAATCCTCTCTGCAGTGTGTAAGAGTGCAAAATAATCTAGTGCCTCCCTAATTATTTGCAGCAATTTTTATTAGATTATGTTTCATATGCTAGCATCTGTATTTTCTAGATAGTAAAAAATGTGGACAGAAAATCCACATCTCATGGAATTATTCTGACCATTTGTCTGTGTATTATCAGAATGTAACCCTTATATTCAACAGCAATTATATTTCTGAATTTAAAAATTTATACATATTTTGTATTTAATTTTTTCCTCAGTTACATACATCCTTTAATTATGTTATGTGAGAGTTAATTTTTTTTTTAAACAAAAATTAACCATGTGATTCCAGGCCTCAAATTGATATATCTGATAATACAAATTAATCCTTGTTTAGGCAATACAGCGAATCTGTCAATAAACTTTATACAGAAGCTTGCTAACAAAATTTAAGTTTTATAGTACAATTGCAATCTTGTGCAGGTAATCTGAATTGCAAAACCTAAGTGCATGAAGAAGTGAGTATGTCTGACTTCTTACAAGAAAGAATACTTTCCAACACAATGACTGTACAAACTTGTTTCTCAATTAATTGATAGTGGAGGCAAAATGACACTAGCTCTCCTATGACTGTGGACAGTGTAGCTACAAACAATACTTGATTTAATGAATTTGATGTCTGTATTCCAAGGGCATTGCATTATACAGTTTTAAATTTCAGGGAACTCAAGTACTTCAACAAGATCCAGAAAAGCACTGCACAAAGGTCTGAACGTTAAGCACTGAACAGACAACTGTCTTCAGTAAAATGTCAGGTCATGCAGAGACAAGTGAACTGGTTTCACAAGCAGAACATAACTGAATGCAGCCTTCACATCACTGAACTCCAGTGCAGGGTTCTGATATGGGAACTGACATTCTGCACCCAGGACCTGCATCTTGGAGCATCCAGGAAATGCAAAGGTCCATCTGCACTGAGTGCTGCAAGTTATTGTGGGGACATAGCCATTGCCCTAAGCTCTTCTCCAGATCTTTCCCAAAGATTCAAACTTGCTGAGATTGACTGTGAGGTCTATTCTAAAGAGAAACAACCACAAAAAACCTGTATTGTTTTATGTTGTGCTTGGATTTTGTTTGCTTTTTTAACATCTGGACTACTGCTGCCATTCACTCAAGCAACTCTTGAAACTGAACTGTGGTTGAAATACAGGGTTAATTATCCTGTAAAATACCACAGAACAACTTCCCTAACTGATGTTTAACAAAAATTACTTCCAGTTTCTACAACAGTCTTCTTCCAGTAGCTCAAGCTTCACAGTGTAGTATTCCTCCATTCCTGCTAAGATCATTCTTTTACAAACGTTCTCCAGAATTCTTTGCAGACAGTTCCCTACAGAGTTTGTCTGTATCACTTCTGCATCAGGCAAAGGGCAGGCTGCAGATTCATGAAGGCATTCCTAGACTCTGCCAATCAGTTTAACAAGAGGATGAAAATTAACAGCTTTGAGTGACTGTTCAGACCCCTAGAAACACCTTCTCTGACATTAGTGCAATTTGCATAATAAAAAATGCAGCAGAGTTCTAGCAGATCTGTCTCCGAATACACAGTAGTATTAACCCTATGAACAAATGAAATGAAAAATGCAAGCACTGACAAGCCTATATAATAAGAGCCTCCTACACAACACAGCAGGTTCTATAGTCTTGTGATATTCTTCTACAACTGGACCACAGCTCATTTAAAAACAAAGAAAATAAATTTTATCTCTACATTAGGTTGCATCCACCACCCTTCTTTTTAAAGTTTGATTTAAAAAGCTTGCTATCTACTAGTCAGTCTCTCCTCCTTCAATAGCCTTTACTCCAGGTAGCAAAGTTCAAGTAGGTTGATTTATCACATTCCGAAACAAAAAAAACAACCCCGAAACTCAGTCTTCTTACTTAGGAAAAGACAGAATAAACCACTTATTTTAATCAATATATTTAAATGCCCATCCCAAGCACACTGTTCTTCTTGCCCAGTTGGCCAGTCAGTGTAGGAAGAGAACAGGAGCATTAAGCGTGCTGAGATCAGGTGTCAGAAGACAAGCATCAACAGAAAACTGCGCTTGGCTACTTCTGACGCTCATAAAGCAGTTTATTTCTGCTGTGAATTTTAACAATCATTAGGGAAAAGGAATCAACTTAGGCATAGTGTAAAAACAAGATGGCACATACCATACTTCTTACGTATTTCATCATGCTTCAGTTTTCTTTCATGTTTCCTACAAGAAATAAAGACATCAGAGAAACATTTAGACTCTTTTGAGCTGTAAGTAAATATAATTATATCCAAAAAGGACATTAGCATTTTTACATTCGTATTAGTAATTATATTACAATTAAAAAAAAAAATCACACTTAGTAGTTATATATATATATATATGTTATCTTTCTATACACTTCAACTGTATGTACAGATTGTATGTATTACACACTGTACCTGTAAGACTTACCATAAATTCTTACTAATTGATAGTGCGAACATAAGATGTATTACAATAATAAGAAATACTTTTCTGTATAAAAGAACTATATTCACACATGCACACATTCACAGACTGAATATGTTCATCTATACATAAGAAACAAGGCACTACACTACACTGGAGCACTCCTTAATGCTTTCCAGCAGGTAGCACAATTGTAAAATTTAGCTTTGCACAGAACATACTCTGGAATACTAATTCAATATAATAATTCTAAAAGGATAAAAAGGTGTATTATTATTTTGCTTAAGATGCACAGCAAGTGTAAGTGAAAACTACAGCTTTCTAAAATCCAGCACGGCATGCATCCATGCAGAGAATAAATTAAAATATTGTGCTAAATATAAATTGTTTTTTATGTTGTCTGACCATAAGATGATTTTTAAGGCAGTACCTAGTACTGCCAAACTGAAATTATTCACATAAACCAACTGTCTGATGAGTTGATTTCTCCTTCCCTTTTACAAAGGTGAAGGCGGATAAAATTAAAGATGTTTAAATGGAAATAATTCCACCTTTTCTCAGATAGTTTTCCTAAATTACAAAGGAAGGATCTATTTTGCTTATTTTAAAAAACAAATATAAAAGCTCCTATACAACTTCTTCATCAGTATGAGCCAGGATCTATATACCTTGAGGAAAAGACAAAGAATTTTGCAAAAAGAAGTTCCTCTAACAAAAATTTTAAAAAAAATTAAAAATACACCTTTTGCTACCCTCTGTCAAAATTTAACCCAGTTAGACAAGTTGTGACTTCTGCTGGATTCCAATTTGCACGTATTCAGCAGAAAGCTGTTAAGCACTGACAGCTTAATTCACCAAAGATCCCATCTGCCCTATGCATATTCCACCTCCAAACAATTCCTACTGCTAATCAGATCCTGTGTGTCCTGAGAAGCAATTATCCTGCTTCCTAGAGAGCTGAGGGTTGAAGTGGCCTTTTTCAGCAATTACACTTCTGGAAAAGCATGTAGATAAAGCACAATAAGAAAAACCAAACAAGACAGACTCAAAACCTTCCACTACTCTTTCCCAGAGATACCCACATCCCTTACATCTCTCTGCATTATTAGGCCCAGGCAGAATAGTAAACAAAGCAACCTGGCCAAAATTCAGTTAACAGAAGCTGCAGAGTCAGGGTAATGAAATTCATGTAGAAGAAGAAAGGGATTGAGACATTGAAGATAACAGAGAAAAGAGGAGACAAATTCATCCACTGAAGGTAACCTGACAACAGGATTTCTGCTTTCTGTGGTACATAAGAGGAAGATATTATATGGGGCAAGGGATCTCAGAAAGAGAATAGAGAGATTCTGCTTAAAGCAGCCTTCTCCAATATAAAGCTAAATCCTTCTACTGTATAGTTTTCATGTGAGTTCAAACCAGGTTTGTTACTGGTGGTACTAATGGCATTTCTTCCTTGTTTTGCATATCCTGTCTGAAGTAGTGAAGACTCGTTGCTGCAGGTTTCAGTTATTGAAACCTCAGTATTTCAGCAGCCAGTGTGAATCAGTTCTGAATTCAGAAATCACCTGCTTAAGAAGGGGATGGTGCAAAATCAAGCTGTGTAGGCTTTAAACCTCAGAAAGGCTTGGACACTTCCCTAGGCTATTCAAAACAAACCACCAAACATCTAATTAAGATTGAAGGGTAAAACCATTAATATCAGTGAAACATTCAAACTCTGGCAGGCAGCCACAACGGCATCACTTCACCCATGACTAAATCCTTGCTCAGTAAATAAGGCTTAGGTACACATCAACCCAGAAGAACCAGACACAGCTCTGAACAGGCAGACCCTGAATCTGCCACCCAGAATTACTGTACCACCCACATCTCACATGACAATCAGCTCAAGTCACTTCAGTCTTCTGAGTTGGCTCTGTTTCTTAACACTACTGCTATTACTCCATCTTATACATGCGGAAGTCTTGGCTTCTCATGCAAGTTGTCCCCATTGCCATAAGGTGAGGAAGTATTTTTCTCAATACTAACAATTCCCATTATAATCTTCCATACTCGGTTCTTCACAAACAAACTGCCATCCTTTCTTTCCCTGGCCTTTCTCCTTGTTCTCCCTTACTATCAATTTATAATTGGCACTAGATCTTATTGCTTAGCATTTGTCTATAAACAACTTCTAAAATAAATAATGATTTACAAATGATATAAATCTAACCTATACATATACCATGTATTTGAAGCTGTAAATAATCAAGTGTATAGAAAAAGACTCCCTACTCAATGCCATAAATAAAAATTATTTTTCATGTTAGAGATGCAGTCAAATAAAGGGCTAAAACTTTTGCAATAAGATACCTGTTTTAAGTCAAAAATTGAACATCAGACATCCTTCTCTTTATGCCCCTCACTATAAATGCAAACTCAAAATATCACCAGTGATTTTCAACCCTCTTAATAAACTGACAGCTACTTTCAGCCTTGTGTAGATAAGCAGTGAGTCAACATAATAACCCTTCTTTTCATTTTAACAGGCATCTTCCAAAGAGACACTAAAATATCCACAATTAACTGAATTCTAATGCAAGCATTAAACTTAAAAAGCAGACTTTTACAGTGTACCTGAAAGACAGAAAATACTAGGTGCTGCAATCATCTTAAACCTTCCACAAAAAATATTTCTATGGAACAATATGGAACTTGAGCTTCCTTGCTTTGTTTTTACCATTCACTAACTAATCATAAAAGGAAGCTCAGGCTAGTCTGTTCACCTTCTATTGCCAACTGGTATGAACCATATATGAGCTGATATGAGCTGTATTTGAAGTAGCTGTATCCCACAGAAAAAACAAACATGTAATATGACAAGAAAAAAACAAAACCAGACAGACACAAGGTCAATGCTGTGCCTATTTTTCTCCCATATTTATTCAGCAATTTTCATTAACTATGTGAAAACTTCACAGTAGAAAGGAAGGACTACACAGTACAAGGCAGCGTTTTCCTCTGCAGGTTGCTTGTCAAAAATGGGCTGTTGAGAATATTAATTTGTTCCACAGCCTGCTAGTAGCAATTCATTCTCCAAAGGTCTTGGAGGAAGTAAGCAGTGGACAGGGTAAGGTGCTCAAAGGTACTCCTTACTCCTTGTGTTTTCCCATGACCCCCAGCCACACACACAACTGGTATGCATGTTCAGAACATGGAAACACCCCAGGGCTGCTGCTAAGCTCTCTCCTGCAATTAAGGCAGTTTCTGTTTCACAGACACTCCTGAGACAAGCTGGGAAAGAGAAATGCTGCTCTAAATAAGGCTGCAGGAATCATTCTGGCAGAGCAGCCTGCTCCCAGTGATCTTTGTTCCTAAGCTAAATTCAAGAATGGAGCTGATATTAGCTCTAAGTTGCTAATTGCCTGGTGCAACACCACTTGTTTTGCGTGTGTGTACAGCACACCTTACATTCCAGAAGCACCAGACTTCCTACAGATTAACTATACTGAGATTTTAAAGCTGATACACAAATCACAGTGGAAAGGTTACGGAACACAATCATCCCATTATGCATGTAGTCAGAAGTCTTTGCTTTATAACAAACACAGCTAAGTGCTGTCTTAACTGAACAAAGCAACATAATTAAGGATGTACAATTCACCACAAGGCACATGGTTTTGGCATATAAAAAAATTGCTGATATTCCTCACTGGGTCCCTCCTCTTTTGAAAGAAACAAAAGCATTATAGGAGAAACATCATGTTCATAGTAGCACTCAGCCTACTGTGCTGTGACTAGTTATAACTGAATTAACAAACAGAGAATTCCCCTTTTTACTGATCCATTGCAAATATTCAACATAACTTACCTGACAAATTGTGTGAGCACACTTCCTGAATTGGACACTTATTTCCTACCCTTCCATGCACATTCAAGTCTGACACTTTCAGCTCACAAATTCAGATGTTTATGAAAACAAATTTGCATCTGTTCTCTTCTTGGATAATGTTTGTCATTACCTCACAATGATGCACAGAGCACTCATGGTATCTGCCACACTGAGCATCAGCTTGTTTGCTCTCTGCTCATTTCCAGCAATACAGCTCCTAATCAGGTTCATCAATTTCATAATAAAGCTCTGTTTTGTAAAAAAACCTGAAACTGTCATGCCTATCATCACAAAACCTCTTTGTTTAGTACTCCATGTATTTCTCAGAAAGGCAGAATACTCCTACATCATCAGGAAGTGTATAGCTATATATCAAGCTGTCAAGACTTACCTCTGAAGAGACTGCAGCCTTCGTTCCTCTCTCTTCCTAGCTAACTGCTCCTCTTCTTCCTCTAGTCTGCTAGAAAAATGAGGGAAGGAAAGCATAAGAGGAGGAAAAAGCAACTTTATTGCTAAGCTATCACTATTTACTACTTCATAGCCATGTAAAATTTCACAGCTGAGTAAGTATAATTTACAAGTTTGTGTAATTATCCCTTCACATTTTATAATATTCTAATGCTGTATTCATTGCAGTAATATGTCCTTCAGCCTCCACAGAACTATTTACAGCTTCTTAGGAAGAGGATGCAGACTGTTCCAGAAGCAGGATTCCTAACTGCCCTTTTCCCCATGCGTCACACCCCATTTAAGAGTCAGTGTTCTACATGTGCACAGTTAAAGTCCATTGTTGTCCTTTAGAAGAAGATTGATGGTTCATAAGCCTTTGATGCCAGAACAATTTATCTTTCCAACAACCATTACTATCCAATCTCAAGCTGCCCCCAGGAAATGAGTCGATTCTGGAATGAGCAAGGATTCTGACCATCAGCTGTGTGATTCTGGGAAATGGTGAACCTACACAATACATCTGAGCTGTGCATGTGCAGATATGCTCTACTGAATTCTCTGCTGCACTTTAGCTTTGTGTCCTGCCTTGGAGAAAGCTTAGTTTCACTTAACCATTAAGCAGACTGTAAAAGACTTGTAGGACTCTAAAGCAAATGTCAAATAATTTTTCTGTTAGTTCTTCCCTGATAGAATTTATGATGATTCTTCAGGATTAGTAAATGGACAACTGCCATGCTTGCCCAGGTGCTAATCATCTTCCAAAAGTGAATACCGTTCTGAAGATGTCCGAGATGAATATTTACAATATTAATACACCTGAGCAGCATTACCACTCATCTGCAGCCACCAACATCTAAGTTAAGCAAGAGTGACATCCAGTGGTTAATTACAGTATGTCAAATGCTTTAATACACAAAATTCAGACACATTCAGCTCTGGAAATACAAACGCAATTCCTTCATGTGCTCAAACGATCCATCTATCTCTCTCAACATTTTAGTTATTTCAATACAAGCCAGCACTTAAGAATCCATGTAATACTTCAGAAACAAAGTTCTTAGTTCCAGCTTTTTCCACCTAAAGAATTAGAAAATATTAGAGGACTAGGAAACAAATGCAACAAGGTCACTTTTATTTGAAAACAATGTTACCCTTTTGGAAAACGAATCAATTATCCACATCAGCATGTCCAGCATGACTAGAAACTCCCATTCTTGGGCACCCTTCTGTAAAACTGCTTTACTGGAGATCCCATGTCTTATAACTATACAATAATCTTCCCAATTTGTGTTGCAAAATATGAAAGCATTAAATAAATAAAATGTTGGTGTATGATTCAGAAAATAATTTTCTTCCCTGTAATTAAACATCATTAAGTATTTTCTGATTTCTGGATACTTGGAATTGTCCTTCCAAATTCAGAAAGTTTGAGATTATACAATTAAAAACATGATTGAAAACAGAAGTGGTTGACAACAGAAGTTCACAAGAGTCTGTTTAGTAGAGTTTCATGAATAATAGCTGTTCATGAAACTGTCACAAGGAACCAGACTCTGAAAAGTCCAGAAACAGAGGATAAAAATAAACACTATGCACCAGTATTCCTAGAATTCCTGTGGAAGAATAGATAATAATATAGTAACTACATTACTGATATGGGGGTTAATGACTTAAGTATGCTTGTGTTCAAGGAAAAGGTAAGTTCAGGCTTCTTGAACACTTAAATACGACAGCTTAAGAATTTCCTAAAGAAACACTGATACTTCTGCAAAACAAGGCAAAACAAGGTTACAACTCAGAGCTCAGATGATACATTTAAAAAAGAACCAGTTACACGGATCTAGTATTACATTTCCACAACCTTTCCTTCCTCCTAGCCACAAAAAAAAAAAAAAAAAAAAAAAAAAAAAAAAAAAAGTTTATTTTGTGGAAAATGAGTCCCCAGAAATAAGGAAGACAAGAGCAAAAGAATTCCTGCTGAGAACCAGTGGGCTTAAAGCCAATAATGTACCAGGTTTCAGTGTAATAACACATTCTGACTCCTCCTGAAACAAGCTGGACCCCAGATTGACAAGACCTTTAAATCCTCTAAGGGTCACAAGATTAAGCTTGACACCTTTGGAGTCTTGGCATAAGATGATTCTCAACTAATCCTCTATTTTTAGAATTAAATGTTACAGTAGTGATTGACAACTTAGCTACTAAAACTGAAGTCCAGCACAAATATCTCTTTTCACAGGATTCAAGCTTTATTTGCTGACATGTCAGCTACAGGGACCCACTAAGTTGTTCTGCAGAGGATGTGGCAGATCTCATGTAAGATCTAAACCTGTTCTTCACATCTTCAGGGCTTATCAGCACAGGACTAAAGAGTATTCATTTTCGCACTAGGGCAGATTTGGGATACCAGCCTACCAACAGAACAGATACATGCTTCTTTCTCAGGGAAGAAAAGAATGAGATGTTATTTACAATTATTTTCACATTTCTTTAAAGCCACAGATATACCATATTTCTCTGGTTTTAAGGTCAGCACTAAACAATGTACAGTTACATAAGTTCTTTTTAAAAACCCAAAACCAAACCTCAAACAGGAACAATGAGTCAAAGGTATTTAAAAAAGTATAGAAATCATATCAGACCAAAAGTATTGAAAGACAAAAAGAACAGAGCTAGCTGAAACTTCACTGTCCAGAAAGCTTTTAAAACTTGAGTGATAAAGGGAAGCATGTTGTGCTGTCCCACTTCACACTCCAGTACTGACGTGCCTATTTTAGCTACTCATCAACTACTTCCCTCCTTTTAAGAATATTAGCTACTCAGAGAAGCCAGTTTAAAAAAAAATTTTACAAGTTCTCCAAGATCCCAAGAACAATTAATTTTTGCAGTACTATTTCCTTGAAAATAAGTAAATTATTCTTAATATCTTAGAGCAAAGAAGTATTATCTTACACATAGAATGTCTTTTTGAATTGGCAAAGAAAGTTAATCCCTTATATACTGACTGCTGACAGATCCTAGAGCAATTCTGAAAGATGGATACCAAGTGTCATATAGGACATTGTAGCTCAGTTACTTTCTACTCACCTGGTCCCTCTTTGCTGCACCATGAGCTTGTCTTGAAAGAAATTATTTACACCATTATCAGAAGAAGCAAGGATTTATTTGGTCATTGAAAGATTTCATGTCCAATGTTAATAAGAAAGGGTAAAACAAAGAAGTATAAAGCAACAGCTTGCCTGAAGTCACACAAATCAGTTCTGTTACCACTAGAAAAAGGGAAGACCAGGACCCAGTGCTAGTAAAGAAAGCAAATACACGTGTTTACCTCCTGGAAGGCCTTCTGCAGTAACAGCAGTAACAGCAACAGGCCGTTATGGACACCAGAATGAGTCCAGCTACCACAGCCATAGCAATAATCAAAGCCTCAAAGTTTACTGAAAAACATGAATATATTCAACTTGTTAGACTCCATTAGTAATATTTATCTTTCTGATAACTCTTCCCTTCCTTCCCAGACATTTTTCCATCCCTATATGCAAAACATGATTCTGTTCCACTACCCCAGATAAAATGCAGTATACCACACTCAAACTTTGCAATTATGCATAATCACCACTGAACAGACATTAAGTAAAACCACATTTCTCATTCTGATACTCCTCTACAAGTTACAAATAAATATATTCATCCAGTAAAGCAAATTTTTTTCAAAAAAATTGTTTTAAATAAAATTTAATTTTTTCAAAAGTATATACTATTTAATTGAAGCAAAAAAGGGTTTTTTTGGACCTAATAAAGTGCAGGGAAAGACCGTCAGTTTTTCAGGCTATATTCCTGGCAACAGTACCTATTTCATCTGCCTACTATTCATGAAAACACCCAACACAATCAAACTACTTTGTATTACACTGTTCTTCATTATGGTTAATAATCTGTCAACACATGTAATTCACGTAAAATTGTAACTGGAAGCCAGCCATTTGTTTTTGACTTTGAAAGCTGCACTATTCACCTTCATTTTCAGCAACAGTGAACAACATTCATCTCTTAATTTTATTTGCTCAAAGAAAAAACCCATCACCACCACCTTCACAAGTTAATTAATTTTCCTGCTGTGTTTGTAGGGGTCTCAATAAGACCATATAACCCTATTGCATGTTGCTGCCTGTAATTTGCAAAAAACCTATTAAGGAAATGTATATTTGAGGGTGTTTTCGTTGTTTTGGTTTGGTTTTTTTTTTCTTCTATTACTTCTTTTTGCTGAGCATGTGCTCCATTATGAAGTTTTCATTCTGTGTTTAAGCTACAATCAATCTAGAAACACAAATGGGGCACAAGATAGAAGCCATTTCCACAGCAGCAGTAAGCTGTCAAGACCACCCTTACTATCAGTAGAAAAGGATGTGTTTAGCTACTCAGTGAGTTTGAGAGTGTTAACTTATTTCATAGCAGCTCATTTGATGCTGTGTTTTGGACTTCTGGCTCAAACATGCTGGAAACACATCAATATTTTGGCTGCTGCTGAACAAGCTTGAACAGCACCAAAACATTTTCCCACCTCCCCCTTGCTCTCTTCCCTCTGTTCCCCGCAGTGAGTAGGGCTGGACACAGGCAAGAAAGTGAGAGGAGTCAGGAGGGTATGCTGAGAAAACACTTGACCCACAGTAGCCACCAGATATGGTGTCATGGTCAGAGAAAATATCTGAGGTAAAGGCCAAGTAAGTGGAGGGCATCTGAGGTAAAGGCCTAGTAAGTGGAGGGCAGTTCTGGCTTCCAAGGGGAAAGTCAATTCCAGTGGGAATTTATTGTTTGGGAACTGGATGAGCATCAGTCTGCCTAGGAAGGGGTGCTAAAAAAAATTGCGTTTTTTCCTCTCCCTCTTCTTCCTTCCCTTTTTAAACTGTCTTTATCTCAATCAAGAACATTTTCTGCTCTTGTTCCTTTTTCTTCCTCCATCCCACTGGGGCCATGGGAGAGAGGGAGGAAGCAAGCAGCTGTTGGCAGGAGTCAACCCTCCACACTTTCAGAAAAAAGTCTGCTAAATATTTCACAATAAGAGCCTTTACTACAACACTGCAAGCCCATTTTTCTCAAAAGTGTGTTTTATCACTGAAAATTCTTATCATACCCTAAAAAACTCCAACAAAAGTCTAAGCACAAATGCCTGTTCTCAGAAAACAAAGCACAAAGCCCTTCTCTATGAACATAGAATTTATAAAGTTCACCTGTACTTTTTCCTCTAGTCACTCTGCAGCAGTCATTAAGTGGTAGTATCCAGAAATTTGCAAGCTCCACTTCAACAGCAATCTTCTACTTCTGCTACCCTAATTTAGACTACTACAAAATCTCTCTGTGATAAGCACAGTAACTTTCTTCAGTCAGCATAGTCACTGATAGTTCACCCCCACTTGTTTTTGTCCTTTAGCCTCCTGGTGTCCATGCACAAACACAGAAAGCTTTGCTCTGCTGGAGTGAAGCTGTACTCTTGCTTCACACAAGAAGCTTTCCAATGTCTTAGGTGCACTTTGTTCCAGTCTAGTCTGAATCTAGATCTGTACACACATTATTACAAAAACAGCTCCAAATATTTCACCCTGATGGCAGCACATGCTCAGTCGTGTATTTTGTAATAAAACACACACTGCAAACAGAAACTGAAGAACAATTACACCATGCATGATTACAACCTACAGTGGCAGAATGCATGTTCCTTTTAAACCTTATCTACACTGCCTCTGGTACCCACTGTTATTTCAGTTAAGCAAAAACAGCATTCAAGAATTTCTGTGTGACTATATTCCTGTGGTATTGGTTCACTGCTGCCACTGGAATATAACAGAACTGTGGATCTAGACAAATCATCCAACACTTTCAGAAATGTTAAAGAAAGTAAAAATGTTTTAAAGCCATTGCATCACCATACCTCCACTGACTGGGGCTGTCTCCAAATCATAACTACTGCCTCCTTGCTCAAATAAATTATCAGGAACAAGCTTACTTTTATCATACTCATAAATAATTCTCTACAGCAAAAGTAAAATTAGTACTTACTCCAGCAAACTCCCCATCGAGCATTTGAGAGAGAACACAATGAAGAAGGTGGAAAAATACTTCTTACAGGGTAATCAATGCATGTATTGTTGGTGTAACACCAAAGGCACTGTGCAAAAGAAACAAAAAAACCCCCAAATTATTAATCTTCAAAAACAGTTAACAATTTAGTACATCACTCCAAAGACAGATTTCTTATGTGAATGTAGTACTGGAGAAATGGAAGTGCTCTGTCTTCTAAAGCCTACAGAAGACCTCGTGCAATTTCTCAGTAAAACCTCAACTGAACAGTGTATAAGAACATTTTGTACTTACAAGTAACACTAGCCTGAAAATATTTGAGAACATATTGAGGTACCCTGCATCCTTGAGGGTAAAATGGCTTTGAGTTTAAAATTACTGGAATTAACAAATACTAAATACAAAATCACACTGCCAACTGTTCAGAATTTTAAAACACCTCGTATCTTTAAGGCATAAAAATACACCTGTAATCTTATTTCAGCCTTGCATTTGCTTATCAACAGAAAGAAAATAGTAAGGAAACCTTATAAGTCTACAGGAGCTTTTGCTGCAAGGTAGTGAATGATACAGCCTCATCTAGTCTGAGTTGCAAAGTACTCTGAGTACCTTAATTGCACATGTTCATATATCCAGATATTTTTAAAATTTCAAATTTTTATGTGTTTTATAGATAAAATTCCAGCAAAACATTTCTGCTTCTAAAGTCATCTCTAAGCATCAAGCTTGGGTTTTGGTTTTCATTTGTTAAAATAAATACTTATTCAGAAGTCATTTACCACACAACTCAAACAGTGAAATAGTTTTGAATAATGGCAGTAAGAATCTTTGACAGGACATGTTTTTTTAGGATTCATTATAAAAAGAGTTCAGACAGGAACTATGCTTTATCTAACTATCAAGAACATCTCTATCATACATCCTCAATTACACAAAGCCTGTTATCTTGCTCTCAGTGGATTACAAAACGTTAAATACAAAGGAAACCATTTGCAGCAGATGCTGCTTTCTTGAAAACTGGGGATACAAGAAGAATATATTACTATTTTGTAGTTGGTAGACTGTACAATTTAAACATACCCATAAGGACACATCAACAAAAAAAACGAAGAAGAGACAATTCACTTTGCAAAAACCGTGCCCTTTTAATTACGGATGCTAAATGCAAATATGCTTTTTTTGGTTCAAATATTTAATAAGAACAAACAATTCAAAAATAACAACTAATAAGGGGCATAATAAAAGTCACTGCTAAACTCGGAACATAATGTTGATCCTGTTTTGAGTAGGAAGCTGGATTAGGTGGTTCATGAAGTCTCTTCTAACCCAAATGACTCGACACTGCTGGTGACAACTGGGAGCCCAGAAAGGCCAGCTGTATCCCTCTGATGGAGACTCCTGCATCTGACTACTGAAAATGTGTCTAACCCAAAAGGCAATACCTGGCACAGCTACTGGCTGGAGCAGGGGCTGAAGTACAAGAAAATATTTAAATTGTCTCATTCTCAATGATAAAAGAATCTGACAATACACAATCATCAATTCAATTCAATCAATATTTTCCCCTTAAAGCCAAAATATTAATAAGACAAGCAGGTAAGTTCAGATACTTCTCAATCTTCCTGGGCAAAAAAGTTTTCCAGTAATGGAAACTCACATGCAACTTTAAAACTCCTGAAATGTTTGTTTCCAGTGACATGTGAGGTTTGAATTTGAAATAATATCTCACTTCTGTTCTGCACAGACTAATGCCTTTTGCATGCTTGTTACAATTCTGATTGTAGAGCTAAAGAAGTTTTCAGCAAAGAGCAGAGAAATAAATTCTAACATTTAAACATCTGCCTTATTGCAATCTCATTGGAAATACACTTTGCTACCAAAAGTGGCTTAGCCTGGCAGTCTTCAGCACACAGAGTCAGCAGAGGGACTGGCACACTGCCTCAGTTACAGGCACTTCTTGGGGCATCTTTAGAGAAAGGCACTTCCAGTTTATTTGCATTAATTTCCTATTTTTCCTAGCACAACACAAGAAAAGCAAGGCATTTTAACTGCCTGAGTTTATTAGATGGACACTTAACAAAGTGCTACCCACAAAATGAGGATAAGTCTGAGGCAGCAGCAAGATCAGCTTGCTCAGCTGAGCTAAAAAAGCCCTGAGCACACACTGGCACTGGAAGCCTGGATTCGGTCTGTCCTCTCCAAGCAAAGCACAGAAACACCCCGAGTGACCAAACCATGGAGCAACCCTGGGAAAGTGAAAGCACCCTGGCATCACGTGTGACAGGCAGGAAGCAACACTTCAATCAGTTGATTCTATCACTTAAATAAGTAACAAAGTCAAAGAAAGCCTAACAATTAGATTTCATATTAAGTGGAAATTCTTATCAATAAAAAAAGATGCTAAAAATCTTACCGAAACATTTGCTAGACATTCATCACAAGACGTCTGGGAAAATGCTGAACATGCTAAAAAAACAAACAAAACCAAAATAGAGAGATTATATACTTATTTTTATTCCATAAGGCATTTATCATAACCTTTGTTTTCCTTAATCCTAGATACAAGCAATAATTTTGACTGAAGTAATGAAATGTCAGTAATTCCATTCCAGGAGAATTGCAGCAGAGATGAAAAACATTTAATTTTAACCTCAGACATAGGGGAACAATTCAAGCTTACCTTTATCTCTTTTGCTTTCTCTAAGGACAACACAGAAGGTATCTCTACTGAAATTCTAGAACTTACACACTTCAATTTAGGGAACATTCCAAATTGTGCAGCTTTGGAAGCTTTGCAAGAGTTGACCCTTGTATAGGATTTATCCCCTTCCATAGGTATTAACTTTTTTTTCTGGGAGAAAAGTTTTTAAAACATGAAGCTCTTCAATTAATATTATTTTAAATAACAATAAAAAACACTTCCAAACATAGGACACGAAGTTAATATGCAAGAGTTCAATAAGAACTTCAACAGCAGCTTGACAAGTCAAACGATGCATTTTCTCTGAATTTAAGAAAAATACATACTTACTGGTGTTCACATTTACTTTCTTTAGAAGTACCCCATGTTTATCATCTTAAGAGCAGTCTTTTGTTATCCATAACTCAGACATAATTTGTTGGCCACAGGACCACATACATACCATAGTCCTGACCCAGATTAACTATTTGAAAGATGAGGGGGAACCTCCTTCCAACTCTGAGCCTGGATATTTATTCTAATAATTGTTGTGCCTATGATAGATTTTTATACCAGTTAATGAAACAAGGTTGTTCTTCTTTCACTATATTACAAATACAAGGGGAAAAGATCTCCAAATGTAGCATTAGTCACAACAAGTTGTCAATCTGAGGTAGAGTTACTTGCTTGTGAGACAACTATATATTTCAATGTTTTCTTTTCATAATTAAGTATTACATATTTCTGGTACTAATTATTAACATTAAATGCAATTTATGTACCAGTATATTTATCTTTAATTTATATACGCATATGGAAAACCCTCTTACCAGTTCATCTGGTAACAATTAAATAGTTACAGGTACCAATTAACAGCCTAAGTGTAAGGCCTATATACCTATTCCTGCAAAAACAACATGAGAAGCAGGTTCAGAAATTGTTCTCAGTTTATACTCAAAAATTTTCAAAAGGAGTTTGCAACATTAAGTACCACCACGCTTATTAAAAAAAATACTTCATTAGTTTTCCAACTATTTTTATAGTTGGAAAACTAATTAAAATCTCTCTCCAATGTGAGATCTTAAACACCCAAACAAACAAGCTTTCTGAATACGAATTAGTAAGGCTAATTTGCTTCAAGTTAGTTGTCTCAAAAACCTGGAGACTCCCTTTTCAAGGATAAGCCCTTCCCTAAAGGAAATTAAACACTTCTAGCTAGGATCTAGACACACGTGTCAAAATGCATTTGAGATACCCATATTTGATGCCAGCCAACCTGAGGTGCACCTTTGTGGCCACATCTGTTGGTGGCAGCTAAATCTGAGGCAGAGCTTCACCAGCTGCCTGCCAAAAGCAGCGAAATGATTCCCACAGAACAGGAAGGGACGAACAGCTCCGTCAGCTTCTCCCGAGCCAGGACTGAACACACATTCCTCACCCAGTGTTAACGAACCCTGGCGACTGTGTACTCCAGGACAACCCTGCCTGAGCAAGGGAGGTTGGACCAGGAGACCGCTGTGGTCCCTTCCAAGCTGCCCCATCCTGCGGTTCTGTGACTGCTGCCACGGTCGGGACTCCCCCCGGGCCCGCAGGCGGGGAACCCCAGCGCCGTCAGCGCGTCCCTCGGCCGGGAGCGGGCTGCTCCCGCCTGCCCACAGGACCGCGCCGGGGACAGCACCGCGGCACGCCCGGGCTCCCCGGAGCTCTCCGGGTGGCGCTGCGGGCGCCGCTGAGCCTCGCAGGCCTCGGGGCGAGCCCGAGCCCCTCTGCCCGGCCAGGCCGGCCCGCTCGGGCCGCACCCGCGGGACGGGCGGGCAGCACAGGGAGCCAACGCCGCGCTGCCGCCCTCCTTACCCTGCGCCGGCGGAACCGTGCTGCCGATCTGCTCCAGCCCCGCCACGGCGCGGCCCCACAGCAGCGCCAGGCCCTGCAGCCACAGCGGCCACCGCCCCGCCGCCTCCATGGCCGGACGGCTCAGGCAGAGCCCGCCCGGCCGGGCCCGGCCCCGCGCAGCCGCCGCCAGCGCCGGGGCGGGGTGCAGGGCGGGCGCGGGGCGGGGCGGGGCGGGGCGGGCGCGGGGCGGGGCGGGGCGGGCGCGGGGCGGGGCGGGGCGGGCGCGGGGCGGAGCGCGGGGCGGGCACGGCCCTGAGGGAGCGGCGGGACAGGACCGGGCCGCGCCTCCCTCGCTCTAGGGGCGGGAGCGGAGAGGCCGGGCTGGGCCTTGTGCTTATCGAAGTCACTGCAGGCGGGGATCTGACATACGCGAGGCCTTCTCCTCTCCGTTGGTCGTTTGATGTGTGAAACAAAAGATTTTCCAGAGATCACTTGAACTAACAAAATGAATGTATCAGAAATGAATGTATCAAAAATAAATGTATAAAAAGAATGTATCAAAAATGAATGTATCAGAAATGAATGTATCATGTTTGTAGAATTGTGTGTTGAATTTTAAGAAACCCCTGCACAGAAGGGCATAGGAAAGAAAAACAAAGATCTCTAAAGCTTCTTGCAAAGGACAAATACCGGAAAGGACAAAGAATGCTAAGACCCCCAGACGAGGAAGCCCTATGTCGCCAGCATGTCAAAGATTGTAACGACGTTTATTTGTATTCCACGGACAGATTCAAGCGAGATCTCTTTGGTTGCTCTTGGGGGATGAGGTTTATTCAGGATGCATTGTGGCCCTGCCTCGAGCTGCCAGACACAGCACGTGGCTGGGCCTCGGGTGATGGGGGAGGGGGGAGACAGAGAGGAGAGCAGGGACTCCCGGAGGACTCTCCAGGAGGAGAAGGAAAGATCCAAGAGAGCGTCCAGCCCCCCGGAGAGCCTTTATCAAAGGGGGCTCCAGGGTGGGCTGGAACAGGACCTGGGCCAATGGGGTCACAGGCACCTGATGGTTCAGGGGAGGGTTACAGATGTGGGGTGAACCATACATTCTGGGGGGTGACATGGAACAGTCCATTTGGCCTTTGGACCCCGTTGTAGGTGAGGGTAATTGTCCAGCCAGTAGGGGGCGTTATATTCGTCCTGGCTGTACCATTGTGGTTCTTAATCATATTTATCTACCCTCCCCAACAAAAGATGATGAACTTATCCAGATAAGAGAGCAAAGGACCAAAAGCGCAAGCGCAGAGGAGGAGAGTTCAAAAGTTCAATGCTGAGGAAGACTAAGATATCATTAAAAAGACCACCAGGTACCCCCATAAAAAAAACCTCACAAAGAACTACGCGTGCTCAGAAGGGCGTGGACCTATTTAGCATGAGAAGCGAAGACAGGCGGGGCCAGGGGTTGAATATGCATAGAAAAGTTGTGTAATGTATTGCATATGAAACACCTTTGTGAATAAAGTCGGGGGGCAGACTTCAGCTCGGGGCACAAGGCTTCAGAGAGTTATCTCCCTTGTGCCGGGCGCTCCCATACATACCCACTTCATAACTACCTCGAGTTGTGGAGTCTATTTATTTATTCCGCATATCGCTTCATGTGCCTCCCTTTTGCTGTGAGGGCAGGAGGTGGCGAGGATCCTGTACCCCGCGTCCTGCTTTCGTTCCTTAGTGAGGATGCCCAGCAGGCTGCCAGAGCCAACGGAGACAACAAAGGCATCCCCAAGCCAGGGCTGGACAAAGAAATTAATAAAGAGATGGAGGTAAATTGAAAATTTGCCGTGACCTTTCCATTTTAAAAGACTAACGAGTTGTTGGTTTTGCATGATGACCCAATTTTCACGACCTTTAGGAAGCATTTAGCACTCTTTCAAGTGCCAGAGATACACAGAACAGCCAGATAAGTCTGTAATATACAACACAGGCACAAAAGAAAGACCCCAAACCTTCTGAGATGGCAGGGTAAGGACACACAAGACGTTTTGGGCATCTCAGTGGCCTTATATAGCTGTGGTTAGGCACCAAATAAAGTCCTTAATGGCCAATGAAGTGACTTACCATGCTGTGACAGCCAACCTTGCTTTAGTTAAACAATCCTGCTGAACTTCATTAGCTTCTCTGTGACTTGTTCAGGAATGGGAAGTTTGATAATTGGCAATGGATAGCTGAAGTACTGGTGTAGGTTTTGGTAGTGCTCAAAGATTCTGCTCCAAGCAGGAAGCAAACACTCCTTCCAGCTATGGCATTGTTCAGTCAGTAGTGACTCCAGCTGCTTGTGACCTTCCTTCTCAAACGCTCCTTCTCTTCTATTTGGACCATTTTTATTGCTCTTGTGTAATAAGGCCATTGTTGCTGTAGAAAGTACTGCAATTGGTTTGTGGACATAGGGACAGCATATCTGGGCTGTTAGAGTGGCTTTTGTAAGTATACTTCAGCCTTAACAAGAAAAAAGAGGAATGTTTTTCGCAGTTTTTGACCTTGCCATCCTATCTGGTTTTAGACACCTGATTCACCTTCCTGCAGAGATCAATCTCCGTAAAGTCCTACATGGTAGGAGAATAATAGCTCCAGGAAAAATTCTGAGGGAATTAGGATAACTACTAGTATCTCTGGTAGCTTAGGCAAACATGTAAAATTGAAGAGATCAACCCTGAGCAGGGTGCCCTTACCTTAAATTAAGTTACAACCTGTGCATTAAAAAGTCATTTACATTTAATTTTATCTATGTTATCTTCAGATTTTTGCTAGCAGTACTAAGGTCCCTGCTTCTTGGTCTTCAGGGATATTAGAAAAATAAAGCCAAAGTGTGGGTATCCAGGCCATATGGAGACAAAGATTTTTTTACCTGAGGTTAAATATAGGACAATATTATTATGACTTCAGTGTGCTTCAGCTGGCAGAATCCTTGAATGGTTTGGGTTGGAAGGAGCCTTTAAAGGCCATCTAGTTCCACTCCTCTGCAATGAGCAGGGACATCTGTAGACAAGGTTTTACCACATGTTCAAGTCTATAAATCTTTATGAAGAAGGCTGACCTAGAACAGAGACTAGACTGAGCTAAAGAGTAAAGTTGGTATTTATTAAGAGGTCTCAAATAGATCTATCTTGGGCAGCACAACCCAAAATGGCCAAAAAAAATGGACAACAGGTCACGAGGTCTCACACTTTTATAAGTTTGGGTCCATGACAATATTGGAGCTAATTGTCCAGTTACAGCCCCAGCCCATGAAGTCCCATCCTTCTTATCTTCTCTCTTTGGTCCACTGTTGTTTTTGCTCTTGGCCCTGAGATCTGGATCGGCTGTCCTTGGGTCCCCAGCTAGAGAAGGAATTGTTTTGTCTACTTATTCTGCTTACTATCCCTTAGTATGAAACCTAGACTTACACACTAAAGCAGAATAGAATCTGAAAAATATAAAACCTAAAACTTGAGGCATCATTTATGCTCTGAAACACTTTTTTTCCTGTTTCTTGAAGTCACTTGGAACAGGCTCTCGGGATAGTAGAGAGACACAGGTGATGAACAAAGACTGCCAAAGATAAGGAACTGTTTACAAGTAATAATTCAATAGACTATAGCTAGGGAGGCATATGCTAGAGATGTATCAAGTCATGAAAGGCACTGGAAAAATGAACACAGAAGGGCTTTCTTCTAATAGAAGACCTAGAGGGCACTGAACACAATTATCATGTACAAGACTGGAAAAAAAAGTACTTAGAAGTGTCAGAATCTGAGGGTGTTGGTGATTCCGAGATTGTAGAAAGTCTCTGTCTTTCTGCCCCGTTGCCAAAGAAGAAGCCATAGTTCGTCTGTGCTGTTTTCAAGGTTGTTTATTTTTGCTTACCTATAACATGTTCTGCTGCCCTGCCGCAGGTCTGTCCTGCAGGGCAGCGTGTGGGGCTCTGCCCCCAGTGGGATGTTACAAACATTATATACCAGAAATTACGTGTACTATATTTACAATAATGTGCCAATATCTATCATCTACGTTGAACAGTGTGTCCCCAGCCTAAACCAATAGAAAAATGCCAACATCACCAAGAACATGGAGGTAAGGAAGAAGAAGGAGGAAGAACAGGATCAGGTCCACTTTCCTCCATCTTAGAACTCCTGACCCCCCTGTACAAAGTAAAACCCCCCCTGTACAGGTGTTAAACCCCCCTGTACAATACTAAAAAATTTTACCCTCTAATTTGTGACTACTTTTACTATACCATCTAACTCTCTGTGACCGCTTATTCCACCTTCAAAGTTGGTAATTCATTCCATGGTTCAAACTCAAAATCACAGCTGTTTTCAGCTGCTTGCCAGGGTCTAAAATGCTTCTGACCAAGGCCTGGAACCTCTAAAAATGTCTGAGGGACATTTTGAGTTCCGACATAGAAGAAAATAATAAATTGCCAAAATCTGGATTTTAAGGACATTAAAAGTCTAGATTAGGCCAAAAGTTTGAATTTTTCCCATAAATATGTCTGTTAACAATTATTAAATATCCAGATACCTCTGGTTCATTAAGTTCCTTCTTGAAGTTGTGTGCAATTGCTGAGGAAGATGCATTATATGATTGCTTTTTTCTGACAGTCTTCCTTAGGCTTTTGTTGTTGACTGCCATTTTAGGCGAGATACTGAGTTTAAAGTGCCCTTGATATGACTTTATAGAGCTGTTCTTATTAATTTTCTTTTTCTTCAAAGCTTATGTTATATTCCACATGATTGCACTGAATTATGTTTGAGGCAAAGGGGAAGTATTTTCACTTTTTAATTTTTTTCTTAATTTTGGATGTTTTTATGTATTCAGTGAAGAGCAACTTCTCATAAATTCCAAGCTTTCCAGAAATGGGATTTTTCATTGAGTTCCTTCTAATACAGTTATGTTAGAGGAAGTATTTAGCTGCAGCCAAGTGGGAGAGGAGAGGAAAACAGAATTTGCTGAGAGCTCTTCAGAAGTATGGATACATCCATCTTCTCAGATTTAGTTTTATTATGCCTTTGGGAGAAAAAAATCCATTAATATAATTTATGAACAGCTGTGGTAATTCTCTCACAGTAACTATTCCTACAATAATGAAACACGTTTCTTCTTGGTTAGGTAGCCACTCCCTCAGCAGACATAAATTGCCAGGAAATGGAGTGTA